AAGGTAGGAGTAGCGACTGCGGCCGCATGTACAACAGCGCTGGTGAAAGTGTGACATGCCGCTACTAACGGTACTTTATTAGACTCAGATGGGCACGGTATACCGTACTCACGATAATGCACTGGCAACAGTAAAGAAAATCGAGCTTATAGTACAGTTTCTATCTCGTGAAGACTTAAGGCATTGGAGTACAGGTACGAGATTTGGAAGGAGCTTTAGAAAGAGACATAATCGTAATCGTCGTCACCATCCTCATCATACCCGTCACCGTCACCATTCTCTATAGCTCCTTCATCCAGTTCTTCATCACTACTAAGCTCCTCCTCATCACATTCTTCTTCGTCCTCCGAGTCCAGGTCATAGTCGTATTCGTGGCCATCACCATTACCTGCCTCTTCACAGCCCGCGTCGCCCTCATTACCTTCAATTACATTGTCTATAGAATCGGTCAACGCCACCGATACCGAGCCCAGGCAACCTCTGATGATCTTCCGCAGTGTTGCAGAATGTCCAACACCTAAGTGATTATACCGCATGAACATATCACGATCGGCGAATCTGGCTCAAAATGTGAGTGTTAATATACCACTGGAAGATCTGTGCTTACATCCCAACATAATATTCCTCCCAGTCATCCAGCTGTTCCCCAGGACGCGCCAGTGATTTTCCATGGCGCAGGGAGCTTATGCCACGTCCTGCGGCGAATGCAGGGATCAGATGTGCCCCTCGAATTACCTGCCCAGGATCCAGGAAACCAAAGGCATCGCGGTCGGACTCCTCCACAAAGCCAATCTTCGGAAGACGAGCATATTTACTGCCAGATCTATAACTCTGTACGACTGCCAGCCATCTTACCCAGAGTACCTCGAGATGCCGCTTCACTGGTTGACCCGCATTGGTGAGCCATACCTCCATATGGTAGATACCCAATACTCGGGCATACCAGTAGGGATGGCTGGGAGTTGTCTCTCCTGAAAGAACCATAACATCCGCGTGAGTTCTTGGGTTGATCGTGTCGTACTCGCGCCTCAAGTCGTAGGTCGTATAGTGCACCTGCATAGTCTGTACGGAATAGATCGTGTTATTGGGAATAATGACAGAATTTCGTTCTTCATCCGTGAACGTGTGGTCGCAATAGCTAACGTCTAGCTCCTGCAACCTATAGATGATGTGATCCCTCAGTCTGGGAACAAAATCCTGACCGTTACTACGATAAATGATCAAGTGCCGCCAAAGTAAGATATGACTGTTACCTTAAGGGCAGGATCACCGTTATTCTCTCTGAGAAATGCAAAAATATCGACTGGGTTGTTCCGAGTGATTGCGATATAGTGATGATTGTCGTAGGATGCCGATGGGGGGGCATTGGATGGTGGTTGGCTGCTAGAGGATGAGATTCCTCCAACTTCTGCCACTCGCCGTAATACGCGGCGTCTGCGTTCATGTTTGGCCAGCTGCGCTGGTGTATCTAATTTGCTAGTGAGCGGATAAAAGGCCTTCAGTGCTTGGTGAGCAAGTTCCCCCTGATACAACTTAATTTCGGTGCATAATGTAGTGTAGACCGTACGTACGATTTGAGTGGTGAAGGAATCCGTGGTCCCGAAGAGCGTAATGGTTTTAACATAATCCCCCATGGCGTGAAATTTATAAGTGCCCATGCTGAACTTCTTCGCCCTTGGCCCGTTTGATTCCGGAATGACGCCGCTTGCTTCAGAATGTTGAGCAGCTGTTCGTTGACGAGCTGTTCTTTCTTTGGGTAACTCTAAAGTGTTGAAGGCCGCACAAGTGCCGTCTCGAAATTTCCGCAATATGCGAGACAGTTTCTTGAAAGTTTCTTCGAGAAAATGTAACGAGGACTCCGAGTGCATCCTAAGCTTCGCCAGCGCATGCCATTCTGCGAATCGATACAGCAGAGATTGTACGAGCGCATTATGTTCAGCGGGGAACAGCCCATCAAAGACAGGGATCGCACACTGGTAAAAAAAAGAGCTGTCAGCGGATCAAATGTCAACAACTAGTAACAAAGAAAAACCTGTAAAATGTCCTCAAAATCACGCGCTGCTAATCGTTTCATCTCAGATGTGTTGTTTGAGAACTTGCGAATTATGCCGTTGCCAAAGGTCGGGACCTGTCGAAACCTGCAAGGGAGTGGACGCCTATTAGCAAACAACAATATAGCTTATGAGGTCCTCGTACCTGCTGTCGAGAGCCGCGACAAGCTCACTACCGCGAGGAAGGGCGTGAAGGAGCCTGAGGAGGTGTATAAACAACGCCTTCCAGGTGCCCAGTTCGCACTCGTGCATGAAGTCGACTACAAGCATGCGGAATGAGTCGAGACCGAGCAGTCCGAGTTTCTGGGCGAATTTATTCTGCGAGTAGACTACGTGAGCCGATAAGAAAATGTGATGAAAGTAATCTCACCTACCAGGGTAGGTACCCAAGAGCCTTCTCCAAGGGTGTGCTCTACCTTGACACCGTCTACTGTATTTCCGTTCGTGTAGATAAAAGCATGAGCTTTGAGTATCTTCGCCATCACATACTCACGAAGATTGGCGACACGACTTCTCATGTCCCTCGAAAGCCCAAGAAAATTAAACAGGTTTTTGGGTGTCAGACAACGAGGGCACGGACACAAGCCCATGTCTTTGATAGTCGCGATTAAAACCCTGTAAATTTACGAGTGATTCAATGTTTTGATAAGGTCCATGAGGTAACGCACTTTTCTGGATAATCCGCGGAATACATGAAAATTCGGGGAAAGACCCTCCGAAAAACCCCGTCAGCACATCTCAAAACAATGCCGTGCTGGTATGCAGACAAAAAATCTTCATCTGACAGAATGTCCCAGCAGGAATGGAATAACTCTCTGCGGCAGTGGGTATGCAGAGACGCCATGCCCGTTTTCGATATGCCAGACAGTCTACTCAAAACGTCTTTGACACTGTCAGGAAGCTAACGTTTACAGTAAGTGTAAACACGCATGCACATTCAGAGGCACGTACTGAAGGTAGAAACCCGACCAGGTGACACGCCCCTGACTTGGGTGATGATCGGGCGTATTTTGTCAAATTACCGAAGTACATATACAGAGGCCAGGCTTTGGCAGTCCCAAAGTTTGCTAGATGAGTAGCATCGGAGAAGAACATCAGACCGGCGATGACACGTTCTAGTGAACATCCAGGTTCCTTTGGAAGCCTCTGAATCTCGTCTTGAGCTTCTAGCCAGGTATCTGAGGTATATAACTCATCGTAAATCTGCTCTTCATGGCCGTCTAGAGGGTCCTTCCATAACCGTTTGAAAGGGAAAAGATGATATGCTCCAGCTTGCACGTCTGCAAACGCCGTGCGTATGACTTCAATGAGAGGTCGATAATGGAATCCGTGGATAGTATAAGGTAGTGGGTCATCCTCGCTTGTCCTCGTGGGGATACTAATGGTGACGCCAGTCTGAACCCAGTCGTCTGGGAAAGTAACTCTTTTTCCACTCTCATCCATATCCAGTTCTCGCAAGTTCTGTCTTACCGAGAAGTTCTCAAAGTCTTTGCGGTCGAAATCATCCGCTAGAATGACATCTTTGACTAGGTGCGAGACTTTGTTTTCCGATAATAAGTTGCCCCCAGAATGCATCCAGGACATAAGTCGATAGACAGACATGTTGGGAAAAGGGTAAGGCGGCGCGAAGACTTTTGCTGGAGAATCAGCCTCTTGAGCACTAGCCTTCGGAGATGTTCTGGCAAGTAGTGAGGATTGAATCAACTGATCTGGTTCAAAGGAAGGACGACGTGGATAGAGCCGACAGAGGCCAAACGAGTTGAAGGTGGACTTGAGGGTGTCTCTTAAGGTTAAAAGAACACGTTGAATTCGGGATCGGGCAGGTAGTGAAGCTGTTTGTGATGATGGAATGCCTGCTCTATCGGAATGATTAAGATCGTCCGGCGAAGGCCTGATATTATTGAGACATCTCGGAATTCGTCCCATTGGGAGTGCTCGTTCATCTGAAATGATAATAAGAGTAAGTAATTGGTAGGTACCTCAGAGAATCGTGGCGCCCAAGCCTGAGGGGACACGAACCTAAATCATGGTTAGTGCAAGAACCACTCCCCGTCATCTCAACATCAACTTGATCAATTTGGGGCGTCTCCGAGCCAAGGGTGTGCTGTGAGTCTAGCACAGGAATGGACGCACTGCATAAATCGCGAGCTACAGAAATTGGTCCAAGGAGTCTGCTAGGAGTAATCGGTTTAAGATTTGGACGGTCACTCAGTGCGGCTGCATGTCCAACGAAAGAGATTCTGCGCCCCTGCCAAATTTGATGATTTTTAAATACAGGAGGTTCAAGAAGGAGTGACTCGCCACGACTGGTTCACCAGTGGCGTTTGCTTTGGAAAAGCGTATCAACGCCTCCTTTGCGCGATCTTGTCGTTTCCGACTCGCGAGACTATTGGCTCTCTTGAAAAAACAACAGGATGCGCGATGCCTACTCAGTCCCCGATTGTCTGTGGTCCTCTCCCAGGAGCAGCCCGGAGCATTGCAAGACACCATCAAAACAAAGAAGAATACACCGATACAAACTTGAAGCACTTTGGAAAAGCGCATGGCAGTTTTGAGCTAGCTAGTACCGTGTTGCCAAGATGCCTTTCAAGTTCAAGTTGCAACTAGTAGTACCATGGACAGTTGGACTCGGATGTAAAATTTTTGAGAAGTTGGCACCAGGATTATGGTGAGAAGAAGCCAATGATCGGTACGTATCAAAAGTCACTACTCAAAATTATACAAAAAATGTGACTTGTCTACTAGACGAAGCAAATTAATATTTCAAGCGTCCAGCGTTGTGATTTCTACCAATAAACAGACATGATTCACTAGTACTACTGGTATTGCGAAGGAGTTGTAATGGTACAAATGGCAATATCATATAAGATGCAATTGAGATATCCATCTCAATCGATCGTCTATGCTCTGGACAAGCTCTAGAAGCATGTAAATGATCGCAAATAATGCCTAAGGTAGCACATACCAGCTATCCGCAGAGCGCATCTCTTTGGCATCATTTAGGATGCCGAGTACAGCATCCGTTCGACGAATAGAAGTCCTGATACTGTCGCGGACTTCAGTGGGACAAAAACTACCTAAGGCGCCATGACGGGACAATGACAGGCGTTGATGAAAAATTTCCATTAAATACTGCACTTCTTGCTCGGCCTTCGAGAAGTCGCGTTTTGAATCTTCACACATGGAGCGAGCAAGAGCTTTCCCCCTCTCGAATTCCGAGACTTCCCAGCACGCGGCATGGTAGTTCATGCGACAGCGTTCACGAACTGCTTCCAGGTATTGAACAGCACAAAGAAAGGAGTTTGTGCCAAGTTCTCCCAGAATCTTCAAATATGTATCCCTAGCCTAAACATGATGCAACTCATCAGAATTAATATGAATACTTGAAACAACGCTTACATTCTCGTTGATGGTGCCCGATGAATCATCAACTTCGAAAGGTCTGCCTACCAATCGATTAAAAATATGTTGGTCTTCAAATCGTGTGGTCCAACGGGGAGGATCGCAGTGTTTGCTCTGAGGAGAACTTGGAGTCCGCAGCTCAACTCCGTTAAACGGACTGTTGAGGTCACGGAGCGAACTCTTCGAATTGGGTGTCAAAGGGAATATATCGTCATCTGTGTCGTTGGCTGCTGTTGTTTTCGTATTTGAGTATTTCTCCCAGTGACATATAATTGTTAGTCTTTCATACCTGATCCTGTTGCAGAAACTAATGAGGGAGAGCTTGGAGTAGAACTCGAATATTGGCTGGGAGTTCCAGCAGTGGGAAGATAACAAGAGTGAGGAGGCGTGGAGGGGAGTTTGCATGAAGCTTCAGCTTCAAGCTCGTTACTGGAAGATGGAACCAAGTTGAAGTTCATAATTTTCAACTCGTAAGGTCACGGGGATCCTGGAGATCCTAGGTTGAAGTGCTACGACGGTTGCCGTGCGTGAGGTAAATAGGCTCTTCGGAGTTTGAACCTCCTGGAACTCGTGCAAAGTGAATACATACCTCTTATCGCCTCACACCAGTACATATCCTAAACAGGAATGAGCTGAGAGGACCTCCTAGGACCTAGGTTTTATAATTAGAATATAGTTCAAACTGAGAGCAGAGATAGCTTTTTTGTATGATTCATTGTGCTTTGTCAGCCACTTGACGTATAGATCTACTTCAGCAGCCAACGAGAGAACCAAGTATAGTACTACCTCTCTGCTTTGCCGAAACGGAAATTGTTTATTGTTGCAAACCTTGCTGGGCGAAGTCGAGCTGCACATATTAAATTGGGAACCTCACTTTACTAATCCGGGAATAACTTAGCACGTTGAAACTCACTTTACTAATCTGGAAATAAGATAATTAATGAGCTGCGGAGGCTATGCATACCTCAGGGAGCATGTCCGTATGGCGTCAGAACTTCTACCCTACAGCAGTACGTCACTAGTCACATAACCAATATAAAAGCTCACCCCTTGAGGTCTGACTCATCTAAATCAACTCCGATCCTCTAACACGATGTTTGATCATGCCCATGCTGATGCATGGGGCAGTGACTCGGATCAACCCTCCATGCTGGTACTTGATCCTGTGACCAGTGATAAGGGGTCGGAATATCCGAGTAAATCCGAGTCACCCGAATCATCAACCGCTGTCAGTGTTCCTGTCAACAAGGAGAAGACTGAAGCTCGCACCCGAAATGAAGAGCATGCGCTAGCCTTGCCTCTGAAGTATCAACTTGAAGAAGTATGAATACTCATTCAAATGCGTTGGTTGCAACATGCTCAATGTGTCTTCAACAGAAGATCCTAGTCAGCACTTGCTTGGACAACCTCTTGAAGATGTCTGAGTCTGCGTCGGAAAGTCAGGCCTGGCCCGGGGAAGCTGCCACAATGACTCGGAGGACTCACAGGGCAGTAAGTATTTGCAGCCGCATTTTTTATTTCGTTGTACTGACTCGAACTCACGGAGAAGACAGCTGGAGCCGATCCCAACTTCGCCAGTTGTTCGGACGTCACAGTAGCCACGGTGCAACGTGAAGCTCAAGATTCTTGCACTGCTAGTACTAGTGCTACCAGTACCCACCGCCAGACTCGCAAGAGAAAGGTTGCACTCGCAGGGATCGACATCGTCGACAAGGAGAACTTGAACGTATTTTCGAATGCCACCCCGGTGGCTATTAAGCGTATCTGCCGGGAGAAAACCGGCACTGATTGGCAAACCGTCCTTGATGTTATTGCGTACGGCGAAGAACGAAATAGGCGGCAGAATCAAGACACGGCAAGTACCGCGGAGGAAAAGTAGTTGAGAGAAAAATTACTTACGAAGTTTGAGTAACTTTTACTCGGAGTTTATTGACGGACCATCCGAGTCAATAGTCGTTTGCATAAGGATCGACAACATGTGTTTGCATATATTTGTAGAGCGGGAAAATAGTTGTGTTGCTGTGACGTATCACACCTCTGTGCCATGTATTAGAAGCTAGACACGAAACACGTTCATGAGTCAGTGTTTGGTTGGAGCACCAATGCACGTGACAGACTGGTGAGACGGCGGAATTCCTCCCTGTTAGACACAATGTATCAATATATGACGAACCAGAACCTGAGATTCAAACATACTGCCACAGAGGTGAGATATGTCCAAGCTTGCGCGGCATTGGGCGTGTCATAACCACCTAAAGCCTAGATGATGGTATGCGGGAAGATATTCTAGTAAGTAGCATCATACCTCCGCCAAGTAACATTTTTTCCCTTGCCATTCGCGGATGATGCGATGCATGCACCAGCCGAGCGAGCCTTAAGGACCAGTTGAGGGTTGCCATGGGATCACCCGCTAGGCCATCTAAGCCACACTGAACTATAATGAAATCAGGTCGAAAGATGTCCTTGACATGTTCGATGATAGGCCAAATGCGGAGGAATGTTTTGTTGGGTGCACGAGCTTTGAGTGGCACTGATAAAGTGAAAGGATCGAAGGCCGGATCATCGACGTCCGGAAGGGAAGCGAGGGGGAACAAGGGAAAAATCCTGGAGCTGCGTGATGAATAGATAGTGTCTAAAAAGAATTCTTTGGGTCATATATTGTCAATGATTCGAGGTGCACGCACAAGAACTTGAGCAGCAGCCGTGGAACCGGGTTTGTGAAAAGCTTGTGACGCTGCATCTGGAAAATGAAGGTCGAGGTCGAGATACATCGAGTCACACGTGGTTTCGGTATTGTTCGTTTGAGGAAAAGAATGGCGAGAACGCAATCAGCTATGTAACAAAAAGCTGAAGCCCATGCTTTTTTGGCGTGATGTCTGCATATGATGACACTGAGATTCCAAGGAAAGTTCGCCATAAACTAAGCGAGCACTTACCTTCCGCCATCCCAACAAATGGCTATGTCCGAGATATCGTTTCTAGTCGCAGCCGCCCCGGTCAAGGTAACTCCAGCGACTAGTGTGATGTAGTCTTTGATTCCATGAAACATGGGGCAGTCCTACATAATGATACATTGACAGGTCGCAAACGACACAATCTGTTTGGTATACGCACGTCTTCAAGCCCACACTCTGAAACTTCTAGCAGGTTCTGCACATCGCTTGATTGATTCATGACATATTCGAGATAGTAATCACGACTCACGAGTATGGTAACCCAAGAACTCCTTCTGGCCAGCAGGCCGTGGTCGCACAACCAGGAATCGTTGGGACTCTTGACCAGTGCATGTTGCCAGAAGTCCATATGCGTGAACAAGTGAATAGACGAAGAGAGAACAGTTTCTATTGGAAGGTACACGTTGCCACGGTGGTGCAGAATATGCGAGAGAATGGATTAGACATCACCCGATGACACACAATGGATTCGTAGATACGCGTGCTCACTTTGACTAGGTCTTCTGAGAAGATGTAGGCACGGGTCTAGCATGCAACCCATTGGATTAGACATCCGATGAGTCTACTAGTCTGTCACGGCGGCCCGACGTCACGGTAGTCAGTACTAGTCACGTACCTGGCAGTTGGCAAAATCGGAGTGTACACTGTAAATACTGCTTCAATCATCTTCTTTCTTACATAGGTTTCATCAACAACACCAATTGAAAGTCACGCTGGTATACGAGCAAGTACACCAGCCCGTCTATGAGGCAAGCCAGACGATGTATTTTACAAAGATGATGCGGCTTGCCACCCGTCTCGTGGGAGACATGCACGTGCGCGTGAATTGTCACGGCGTGATGGTATTTTCAGTTAGTAGGATCTCGCGCGAGGACTCAGGCTCAATTTTTTTTCTCAACTTCTGTGGGTGAGAGTCCTGCTACGGCTGGAGGTCTCCGTGCGAGCTCTATGACCTCGCAGAAGTACTATAATAACTATATCATCATCTGCCATGGCTTGCTCCTCGTTTGGGCATAAACATTTCCCCTTCCTTTACGTTCAACCTCATCACGAGTCTTCCCGACTCTCAGCTGGAAATTAATATTCCTCAGGATGAGCCACACCAAGATGAGGCCTACAAAGGTGTTCACTCATCTCCCTCTCGCGTTCCAGTCAATTTTTTTGACCCAGTTGGTGTTAGCGAACTTAAACGCACAATGACATCACGTTCCACACGTTCTCAAGTTAATCATCGGGAAAGCTCTCGTCGCGGAAGTTCACCCAAGCCTCCTATGCCTGCCTCAGCAAAGGGCATCGACACTCCAAGTTCATCCTCTGTGATTCCAGCATACGATGATGATGCTTTCGATTTTGAAGTCACGCTCAAAGACCTCGTCAGACGATGAGTTCCGCCATAAAGAAATTAGTTGCGTTTGTCGATATATTACTAGTCGTGGCGAAGAGTCCATTAAGGGCCGCGAGCTTAGCGTTATGTTCAAGGATCTCCGTATCGTCGGTGTCGGTGCACGTGCCTCTTTACAGCTCACCATCGGTTCTATGCTTAATCCTGCTGCCATCTTGAGGAACACTTCGGCGATGCGCAACCAGCCTGTCAGGGATATTTTCTCAGGATTCGAGGGTATCGTTGCGCCTGGTGAAATGCTCCGTTAGTCGTTTTAATGAACTAACGTGAAGTTAAATTTTCGCGCTAATCACGTGTTCGCGACAGTAGCTCTCGGACGACCTGGTTCCGGTTGCAGCACGTTCCTATTGCAAACCAGTGTGGGGAATACCATGCTATACAGAGCGAAGTATGCTATGACTTCTTCACCCCCAAAGATATCGCAAGACAGTATCGTGGAGATGTGATCTACTGTCCTGACGATGATGTCCACTTTCCGACCTTGACTGTAGAGCAAACCTTGTCTTTCGCCATCAAAATGCGTACTCCACATGCTCGGTTCATAGACCAAACCCGTGAACAGTTTAATCGTGATGTAGTTGATATCCTCGTGCGCATCTTCGGTCTTCGTCATGCGCGAAACACTGTTGTCGGTGATGCTGCCATTCGTGGTGTTTCAGGAGGCGAAAAGAAACGTGTCTCGATTGCAGAAGCACTGTCTTGCCGTGCCCTCATTGGCGCGTGGGATAAGTGAGGAGGTAAAACGTGTTCATACGATGACAGTCTTACATCAGTCGGATACATGGGATATCGGGACCCACGTTGAAGACACAGTCGGCTGGAGTCTGCTGGCACTAGCCGTGGTCATCGCCAATGCGACTCTTCGGTGAGTGATGTCACCTATTCCAGACGTTCAATACTTATCTAGGATGTAGGGGGATTCCTGGCAGGATTCGTTGTTCCCCACGAAAGCGGTCTTTGCTATCGCACTAACGGAGAAGCTCGAATATATGGTGACGATCATGTTTTGCCTCTGGTATGGTATTTGAATTGCCACGTGTATGAGACTAATATCTTCACAGTACTTCGCACTCTCTGGCTTAAATACTAACCTTGGATTGCTTGACAACGGTCAGTCCTCCAATCATAACTCGCATTGATGAACCTTTGCGGCAGGCATCACTTGGGGATTCACTTACGCAATTATATGTGGACTCTTCTGGAAAATTCACTGCATGTACGATCACCACACAGATAACCGGAATGAGTTGGCGAGGGTCAAGCATCGTCAGATCATTGAATAGCTTCAATGCTGCCGTACGACTCGAGGCCCGGGAGTACTAGTATACGACAACGTGCACACCCGGAAATTGGCTAGCAATCGGCTTCGAGCTGAGCTTGAGAACAAGGGTCTTGCCAATGCGTCTGCTATTTTACGTGCGTTGTCTTCTTTTTCCCGCTCCTCTCCGACACCAACGTCACGGTGACTCGGATAATTGAATATGTACAGCCCTGTGCACATCATGATTTCATAGACTTGGAGCGGAGATCATCGATCTTGTGGG